TGGATGCAGGTGTTGAAAGCAAGAGTGTGTTTTAAGGGCCGGTGCAGCACAAATTCTGGCCTTTGGGATAATGACAAGTGTTTTGCCTGCATAAACAATATATATATATATATATATATTTTTTTTTCCCCCTGAGGTCCGCACGCACCTAGTTCCCCTCAAGCTCATCATCTCTGTCAGGTTAATCAATAGGCACCGTATGGCAGAGGGTCAGTAATCAGTGTCATCGTGCCTTTAAATCGTGTTGAAAATTTGCTTAAAGCCTGGGCCAATTAACATCGAGATGATGAATGGATGGGTAGATGGGAAGAGCCTGGCGCTCAGGGGCTTTGTGCGAAGGAGATGCTCAGCTGTTGAGCAGCAGACACCAGCGAATAAAATCAGCCATTCATGGGAGCTCAGTCCACCCACTCTTAATGATAATGTCAATCTAGCAAAATATATACACATTGGAGTTGTCATGAGTTCATAAATCAAAGGAGTTTGTCAAAGGCATTCAGATTAACGAGGCAGCAGCAATAACAAGTCAAATTTGCATAGAGAATTGCCCGAATCTCAGTAAATTATGATCCTGTTTTTCATTTGATTATTTGCTAATGTCTCAAGAGGGAGAATGATTATATTAGCATGCAAAATCTACTCCAGAAGTAGAAATCGGAGGTAGAGCAGACCAGCATACGATGACAATTAATCAGTTTCTGCATACTAGCATAAACGCGCAAGGCCCAGAAATGAACTCCTTTTTTTATTATTATTTCTCCTTGCTACTGATCCAAATGGTTCAGCTTGACAGAGACTTTATATTGCTTTAACAGTGTTCTGAATTGTGCCTGCAGGCAAGACATAGTTATGCAGCTATAACCAACCTATCCATCTGCCAACCAGATTGGAATTCTCCTATCCAAGGCTTCCATTAACCCCCACTGACAGCTCCAAACAGGATTAAGAATTTGAAAGCATAAAAAATAGTTGTGCTCTTCGCAGAGACACCCGGTGCTTCCCCGCCCCCCCTTCCCTGCACTCGGACCGGGGCTGCATCTGCCCTGCTTTATAATTAGTGCTGGGCAGGTCAGCACCAAAGCAAGCCGGCCCGCTTGGCAGCGCTTTCATCTCCAGCACGACGAGCGAGGCGGGTCTGGAGGTGGCTCCGTCCAGTTGGGGTTCCTGGGGTTGTATTTATCCCTGTGTTATATCATTCCCAGCAGTGTTTTGCTGGGCCCGTGCAAGCGAAATMCCGTGTGTCGCCTCGCATCGAATGCTGCAGTCTGGGGGGTTCGTACGCAGCGTAGTGTGGGGTGCACCCTGATAGAGGAGGCTGCATGGGGAGAATTAAATAGTCAGGATTTTGTGCTGGTCTTTAAGACRACCTGCCCTAGAATTACACTCTGTTAATTACAGGCGGAAGTTTTAAATGCAAAGCAGATTTAAAGGGGCCTCATTATAGACTGTAGCCATTTTAGGGAAAATAAACTAGGGCGGGCGAGTCCCTTTGACGGGAGCCTCTTGCTAGGGAGAAATTTTGAAGGTCACAGGAAATGTGAGGTTGGGTTTCCTCCCTTCTCTTCCCCACATTTCCARTGTCATTGTGTGACCTTGGCCAAATGAAAAAAAAAAATACCCAAAATATTCCCGGTGTGTGGAACATGGGGAGGCTGGGGGCGGGTTGTTGTCTCACCAAGGTTGACCCCTCGGTGTTTTGTGGGCTTTGGGGCTTCCCGTCTTATCTCGCTCGGCCGGTGCTGTTTGCAAGGAGGCACCGCGGCACACGAGAGCGAGCGAGCGCTTCTGTCRGGATTGCCACGTGCCTGCAGGCTCTTGGAACTGCTCTAAGCAGAGGGAGGTCGGATGGTTTTCCGGCCACACCTGCTTTTAGGGTGCACTTTCATCCTGACAAACGTCCTCCTTCCTTTACGACGCATCAAGTGCAATCGCTGGAGCTATTAGCATTCCCGGTGCGTATCCCCGCTGCCGTCTGGATACCAACTGCCGCTTCCTAGCRCCGTGCCCGAGACATGTGTTTCGGTAGCCACGAGAGGGTGCTCGGAGCGGCGCCCGCCTTTGTCTGCGCCTCCTGCAGCCCRGAGCAGCGTCCTGCCCCAGCAGACCTTGCTCTCACCTCCCGCCTTTATCCCTCCTTCCGCAAGGAGGGATTTACAGATCTATAGTTTCACTCAGGTACGTTGTGCTCTTCCCATGGCCTTGTCCAGCTCCACGTGCTCMCACACGGTTCCTGTTTGTCCCCAAATATGCAGGGTCTCACACCCGCTGCCTTCCCTATGCCTGAGAAACAAGCRGGAGCTGCCGACATCTGTGCGTGTCCTTAAGCACGAGGCTCTCCGGTCATCCCGTCCTCACCGAGCGGGACCTTCTTGCCTGCAGAAGTGCCGGAGCAACGCTCCGTGGTAATGGAGCCGCCGCCTCGGTGCGGGGAAGGGAGAGGCGCCAAGCTGGGAAGCACCATATGCACTTGGCACTCTTTGTCTGCTCTTTGTTCAGCCAACCTCTTAGCCTTGCCACCTCTAAAGCTAATGAATGCAAAATGGTCCTCCGCTCGAGATGCTCGGCTTCAAGGAAATAAAAAGGGGACGACGTGGTGTTTTAGCCAGGAATTTCAAACTAAGGGCTGACAGCTTGCCGTCGGTGCGCTGCTTTTCCTGCTTTTGGCCGTGTTTGGAGGGAGGGGATCCTTAAAGGCTTTGCAARGGCAGTAAAAGGCAAGGTTTCTCTCTTTGGGGAAGGGGTGTTTGGAAGGGGGCATCATTTTGCCGGTTGTAGGGAAGGAGATGAATGCTGGAAATGCAGCCAGAAGTGGTAAGTAGCCCCCTGCCCCTCCACAAGAACAAAATGTGTTTCCTGCAGTGCATCGTATTTGTCTCTAAGTCTTATGCCTCTTGCACTTGATCTTTTTTCCTCCAAAGCACAAAATTGAAAGCCTTGCTGGAATTAACCRCTTACTAAACTGTATTTCATGGGAAGAACAGAGCAGCTTTTATGTTTGACCTTCCTTTTTGCAGATATGTGGGCCTAGCTTATATGATTTTACGATCGCTCTCCTTTCTGAGCCAGATTTAATGTAATAACTTGGTCTTTGGCTGAGGCCTCCTATGAAAACTTTTAAAAGCGTGCCCCTCTCGGCGATTTATCAGGCCTGTTTAGGATTGATTTCCATTATAAAACCCTGGTTACAGCATCCCAGATGTCATGGTGCCCTGCGAGTTCTATATCTTAAAAAAAAAAGAAAAAAAAAGAAAAAAAAAGCTGTTTGGTCTGCAGGGCTTGATTTACACCGGCTCCTCAGGGCCAATTTATGGCATCTTGGTGGCTTTTTTTCTCCCCCTCGTTTGCTGTTTTTCACCTGCGGCTGCTGCCCCTGCTTGACCTCCGGGTTGTGCCTTCTCCTGCCGTTCGTGAGGGCCGTGGACGTGGGAGCTGCCCCGAGCACCTCCACATGTGGGGTGCTGCCCTGAGCATCTGCGCACAGCGAGGAACTGCCCAGAGCAGCACCCTGCCCCACAGCAGGTGCTTGGGGCAGTGAGAAAAAAGGAAAAAATGAATGAGCTGGGCCTGTCTTCCTTGGAGAAGAGAARGTTGAGGGGAGATCTGATGGATGTGTGTRAGTACCTGAAGGGGGAATGTAGGGAGCAAGGGGCCAAGCTCTTCTCAGTGGTGGCCCATGATAGGACAAGGGGCAGTGGAAACAAGTTGAAATATAGGAAGTTCCATCTGCATGTGAGGAGGAACTTCTTTCCTGTGAGGGTGACAGAGCCCTGGCACAGGCTRCCCAGAGAGGTTGTGGAGGCTCCTTCTCCGGAGGTTTTCACCTGGATGTGCCATGTGCTCTAGGTGTCCCTGCTGGAGCAGGGGTGTTGGACTAGATGATCTCCAGAGGTCCCTTCCAACCTTAATGATTCTGTGAGGACGGACAAGTACAGGGTGCAAACCTGCCCCGTGAAATCCCTGCTCCTGAGCTTGCCCGCACCGAGCAGGAACCCCACTTTTCCTGGCAGAGCTCTCTCTSAGCCCTTTCCATGTCTCTCTCTAAAACCTGTTTTATTACTTACTACTGAATGTGTGGGAATGTGGCCTGGGGCTTGGAATACTGTGGTAGTCAACTGATTTTGGAGGTCTCCCTTGGCACGGAAGGTGATCCTGTGTGTGGGAAGGCCGTGCTCCAGAGCCGCTTGCTGGAGGTTAACAGGAGTAAAGTCTCCTGGTGCCCTTTCTGTGTCCTTCCTGGAAAGGCCTTTGCAATTGTTTTTCCTGTACTATCCCCGTCTCTTTCTGATGCACTTTTTATGGAGGTGGTAGTTTAAGTTCCCTGTTGGTGTCTCTTTCTCTGGAAAGGTCAAGGAAACGTGTGTGTGTGTGTGTGTGTGTGTGTGTGTGTGTGTGTGTGTGTGGAGTCACAGGGCTGGAATAAGTCACAGCCATGGTATCAAACCTCCCTGCACAGATTAAATAAAAACCACAAAGAAATAAATGAAAAAAACCCACCAATCTCTACTTCCTGACCATCTCACCCACTAGCATTTAGTTAAGTAAAATTTCTAGGTGTTTCTGGCAGTCTAGCAGACTCTCTACCACTAATTATTTAGGCATGTTAAAATGTAAGGCATAGAGGCCAAGTACATCCATTAACAGTCTCATTTTCTACAGGTCCACTGTTTGGAGTGGTGATTATAGGGAGTTGAGAAGCCTTAGTGTTACCAYAATGCTCCTTTCCAGAGAGGCCACTACTGGTGGTTTCAGTATAAATCCCCCCAAATGCTCCTGTAATACATACTTGCACGGTGGAGCATTGATGTGTTGAGGAGAAGAAATTATTTCTCAGCCAGAACTAGCCATTTGGCTTAGAAGTACAAGTTAGCCTCCTCTGTGTGTGTGTGTGTGTGTGTGTGTAAAATAATGCAGCCTCTGTAGCTACAAATTTTCCTTTCCTTTTCTTCTTACAGAGCAATATTAGGGGAGAGAACTGAATTAAAGCTTACTTTCTTTCACAGAATTCTTCTGAGAGAGAAGACTGTAATAATGACGAGCCCCCTAGGAAGATCATTCCCGAGAAGAATTCACTTAGACAGGTATGTGATCAGTCTCTTTAAAAATGCAATAAAACTTGCTAAGCTACCTGAATCCTAAAATGCTTTTGGAAGCCAAAGTCTGATTTGTGCTCCTGGAAATCTTTCCTTCTSTCCTTTGAAGCCTGAGAAAGTTGCATTGCACCTGGGGAAAGCAGGCACGTGGGCTGAGATTTCACCCGGGTGCAGTCTGGTGCTTCTTGCTAAGGAAACCTAGATTTGTTCTGTGTGCTGCAGTCACCAGTGACTTCCTATTTTTACCTTTTTCCATTTGCTGTTCATCAAGACCTCTTCACCCTTTTATTCTGTAATTGTTTCTTTGATTCTTTGTTCAACATTTTACCCTGATTCAGATTGTGCATTCAAGAATCTCCAAGGGTTYTACAACAGTTAAGCTCTCCGCTACTGTTGAAGGTGAATTTTCTAAGATCATGTCTTGGTTAATAACCTGAAAAATAACTGGTTTTTCTTCTAAATTCATATTAATTATTACTGGGTAGAAGGAGAAAAGGTAGGTTAATAAACATATCTCTTTGTCCTTCTTATATAGTAAAGCAAATTTCTAACCATTTCATCAAGAATCACTTTTATACTGAAGGTCCCCACTGCAGAAGCAAATACGTGTCCATTCCTCAGCTGTTGATGTTTGCTACCTGATGTATCAGAGTAAAGCCACTGATGAAGGTGAAGAAGTGAACACCTAGGCCACACATTGAAGCACCTGACAAGCTGGACATCAGCTATAGGAGAGAGAGCCTCAGGCAGGGGTGTAGGGTGGGAATACAGTGCCCCACTGCTGCTATTTCTAAGCAAAATTGGGTCAGAACCCATGATAGAGTATCTGTTTGATATAGCCTGTTCCTATAGCTGACTTGCTTTAAGATGTACTGTCTTAGAGGTGACAGTCAGCAGAAAGGGATAAAGTTATYAAGTGTTTAGGAGTCCAACACACCRGAAAACTTTATTTATGTATGTATTTATCTTAGCATTACCTTACTGGTCCAGTGGAACCCCATGGTGACCTGTCTTGTGTGCCTTCTCATCCCACCAGTGCCTTCCTGACGACTGTTGGCTAAGGAGGCAACAAATGTTCATGTGAGCCACATTATGAGGATCAAGAAGGTGTGATTTCTTGAGTTGGGTTTCTTTCCTTCACCTGTTACCCTCCAAATATATTCTTAGTGTCCATGGAAAGCTGGTATCAAGAGTATACCTGAAAAACTGCACTGTCCAAATATTTCCTATCAGAAATAATTCATACGGACATGATATACAGCAAAATGATTAGCTATTAAAATGTTATATCACACTGTCTATCTTTGTCTGCGCCCAGTCTTTGTCATGACAGATGCAGGACACAGTCCTTGCGGCTTGTAATCATTGTGTGGCACCTTTGGCATTCAGAACAGTGATTGTGAATAAGTTCAAGTTGGAGTGTTAAAGCCAAGACCCTTAGGACTAGCTTTCAGGAGATGGTTACCCAAAATTTTATGTCTTTGGCAGAAAGAATTTGGGTTTTTTATATAGACATAAATAAAAGCTATCAGATCCTTTTGGAAGCTCGGAAGAACTTCTTTTTCCTGTAGCAGCTGGCAAGAAGCAGTCAGTTTTCCAGCTGTAGGTTCAGGATGCAGACACACGCGGCCATGTGCTTTCTCCTGTCTTGATGAATGAGCGGAGCGGTATTGGAAAGATTTAAAATTTCCTTATTGGGAAACATGGACCTACCGTCCAGCATGGAGGAATGGACTATGTGGAGAGAGGGAAAGGTCTGTTAACCTAAGTAGTTCTTCCAGTGAGAATGTCCTCCCATTTAGTTCTTTTCTGATGGTTTAGCTTTAGGAGAAGGATGAGATATGTCAGGCTGCTTCAAGGGGAGCAYGGTTTAGCTAAGAAGTTTAAATAAGGGGCCTTGGCTGGTCTTGCTTCATTTGCTGCACAGGCATGAAGCCTTTGCCAAAGCTGTTGCCTCAGGTAGGTCTGGACGTACCAGAAGGTGATGAGAAGTTGTAGTTGTTACCAAGGTTCCAAAGTTGCAAGCAGGCTGAAGACCTGCATGACTTAGTGCTGTGGATCTCCACTAGGAGAAGTGTAATTTTTCTGTTGGCCGAAATGGCTTTTGTAGAAGGGCATCTTGAGAAGCCTCAGCAAGTGGAGCTGCGTTCCTGGACGTGGGAGACACGGCTGCTCTTAGACACGTGAGGGGCAGCAAAGCAGGAGACGGGGATTAGCACTGGGAAAAGAAACAGGAAAGATAATTGACATTGTTAGCTGGAATGGGGATAGGATCTGAGCTGTGACAGTTTGAAGTAAGGGTGCAAATACTCAGTTCTTGCTGATGGCTTGATATGACAAATTGAAATTTTGAGGGGTTAAACTGAAAATCACAGTATGAAAACAGACTTGAGGAAAAACAATGACAAGTGGCAAAAGTTTTTGGCAACTTTATTTAAGCTAACAAACGAATTTTCACACTGCAAAGTTATAAATTAATTTTAATAGGCTGATCCAGATGGTCCATTTGGAAAATGGATAGCTTGATCTGTTGAAAATTAAACTAAATTTATCTCTCTCATACTTCAAACTGAAGTAAGCGTGAGAAGAGTGCCCATTAAGTCCGGCTCATACAGATGGACCGGCAGGTCACACATGGGACTAATCTGATTCATTTTAAAAATAAATGCATGAGTTATTGAATCAGGTTCCCGTTCCAAGGCCTGGGTGCGAGCGCGTGCGTGTGCGCGCCGCCCTTTCAGAGGGGCTCGCAAATGCTTCAGTGCCTTTTTAACCTGTGTGTTTCCATTTGAATTCAGCCTCCTTGCCAAAAAACGTAATTAGTTTGCAGTGCCTATCATTTAGCGTTAGACGCAAGCGCTAGATTGATTAGGTCAGGCGTTTGTTATTTTAAGGGCTGCGTCGCCATTCTTCATTTATGAAGAACACGAGCTCAATAGTCTTGCGGAGAGAGGCGGCCTTTAGAAGCGGCGCYGGGGAAGCTCTCTGGGGGCCCCTGCAGCCTTTTAGCTCCTGGGTGTTTTAAACAGGGCCATGAATGCAGATTTGTAAATTTATTGCGGTGCCATCTGGTTTTTTGCAGGAGCCGTATTATCGTTGGCGCGCATGTGTCTATTGTGGTGGTCACTCGGYGGGAGCTTGCCCTCGTGGGCCGACGGGGAGCCATGAATGGGGGGGGTCAGCGTGCGCGGGTCACAGGGCAGCTGTCCGGGGCTGCCCTGAACTTGATTACCCCGCTGCTTTTTGGAGAGGACGGGCACAATGCGGCTGGGTTGGAAACCCTCCCTGCCTCCCCTTRGGCCGAGCGGGAATGCAGGGCCTTTTGCTGCGGCGGTTCCTTCTGCCGGGAAGCGCCCGCGGAGGAGCCTTGCAGGGGGCAGCGGCGGCGGGATGGCCGCAGCGTCCCTGCGAGCAGCACTCGGGGCTCTGCCGGCGCTCCGCAGAGCTTCCAGATGGAAGTCCAGGGAAAAATAATCGCTGTGTTCTCCCCATTTGAACAGGCCCTTTTCCATGGCATTTTCCCTGGTAGTGTTACAGCGCAGAATACTGCCTGTGTTCGGCCACGTGGGTTGGCGGTCGCTTTGTAGAATTAACGTGTAGCACCCAAACCGTGCTCRAGGTGCTGCTTCGAGCTTCAGACAGGCCTGGTCTGCTCCCAAGAGCTTGAAGTGAAGCAGTTAAGGARGGCAAAAAGCTGTAGCAATCCCTCCTCAATTCCCTTCTCTTTGGTGGCATCACCTGCTTCGCAGGATGCCTCTCTTCCAGGTGGAACCTGACGCTCTCCAAAACCCCTTCTGCTCCGGGGAGTTAGTTCCCTCTTTGCAATGTATGGGAAAGGTTATAAAGTGGGGAGGTTGTAGAGATCCTGCAGCTCCCTCCCTCACCCCGGAGGGGATTTTGTAGTTCAGATTTTCCTCCTCTGGTGGAGAGCCAGGTCAGATGGGAAGTACCTTTCCTGCAAGGTTACCCAGTTTATATCTTCTTTTATACTAAAAATACTTTCTAGGAAGGAGTTGCTGGTTGAAAAGCCTCTTGAAATTGATAGAAATACCTCCTAGTTATGAACCGAGAAAAAAAAAATCACTTCTATTTCTCCTTATCAYTTAATGTGCATTAAAAAAAAGAGTGAACTTAGGGTGTGCCAAAGCCTTAAGCTGCACTGGAAATGCTGCCTCGTGGCGGAAAGACCACTGGGCTCTTTCAGGCCCCGTGCTAATAGGAATCTGTCAYCCCGCTGCATTTCTGCATTCCTCTGTAATTGAGTAAATTGCAAGTGGTGTCTGCTCCCCCTTGCCCTTTGTGTGCGTGTCCACTTACCCTCCCAAGAACGTGGGCAGTGATAAATAAAGTGCTGAACAGGGCTCTCGACTCTTTGAAAGCAGCATGTTGCCAGCCCCCTAGTTATATTTCTTTAAGTGTTTATGTTTTTCTGTATTCTTTCCCTTGTGTGGCTGGAACCCCGGGGATCCAAAGCCATGAGAGAGGCCAAGAAGCTAACAAAGTGGCTGTCCTCTTGTTAGCTTGTTCCTTTCTTCTTTAAAAAACAGGATGAAAACCATCTGGCTCAGGGCATTACATTTTCCTCCCCCATGCACCTCTATAGATGAAGAGTTTCACCTGCAGTGAGGGTTTACATTGATTAGGGAGGGAGCAGTAATTCAAGCCTCCATCCACTTCAGTGATACTTTGCAGTCTTTAAAGGTGCTGACCCATTGAGTTAAACTGTCAAGGGAGGATAAAAAAGGAGCTTCATCCCGGGAGGTAACAGCTGCCAGGTTTTCAACACCTTGTGCGCTGCTGGAGAAGTGTCACAAATTGTCAATGGGAAGAAAAATCGCTCGGCTGCCATCTTCCCTTAATGACGAGCCTTATAAAATGAGAGATTTAGGGGTTTTTAAATCAGCGAGGAGCCGTCAGGGAGGAAGGGAAAAAAAAATAGAATCCAGAGGGGTTTTTGAACTGCGATCCCGACAAGATGTGGATTGGAC